TGTATCCTTTTTCTAGCATATGATAAACATCTGTTAAATCAACTCCGGGATATGGTGACATACCATACGTTGCAATTTCCCACAGTAAAACACCAAACGCCCATACATCAGACTAAAAGGAACAAATAGAATAATTTAAAAATAAAATAAAAATTCCACAAAAATAAAGCATACTTTGGTTGAAAATTTGTTATAAGCTAAGCCTTCAGGCGCAGTCCATTTTATAGGAAATTTTGCACCTGCGTGTGCTGTGTATGTGTCGTCCCGCATTAATCGGGCCAGACCAAAATCAGCAACTTTAACGAGATGATTTTCTCCAACAAGACAGTTACGTGCAGCCAAATCCCTATAGGAAAAATTATGAGCAATTGACTCCACAAATTAATATTTTTAAAAAAAATATTTACCTATGAATGAACATGCGACTTTCTAAATAACTCATTGCACTAGCTATTTGAGTGGCCATATACATGAGCACAACTGCATTAATATTCTCCCTATTGCCTTGCCGTAAATAATCCAATAGATTTCCTTTACTCATGAATTCTGTTATTATATAAAATGGTGGTTCTCTAGTACAAACACCTATATATTTTGAATAGAACAAAAAAGTAATTAAAAAACAAATATTAACAGTAAATTGCAATGTTGAACTATTATACCTAGCAATTGAACTAAATTTGGATGTTTCATTTCCTTCATTATGGCTGCTTCTTCTAAAAAATCTTTAAGTGCCATTGTGTCTTCCTGTGAAATAAGATTCATCATGTTGAACAATGTTGTAAATTAACAATAAATAACCAAATAGAAGATGTACAATTAGATCACCATTTAATAAAATTAATTTATTATAATATCTAATAAATAAGCTAAGTTACCTTCAAGGTTTTTACTGCTACAGTCATATTATATCGTTTCCAAACAGCTTCATAAACATCACCATATTGTCCACCACCAAGTTTGTGTCTCATAACAATATCTGTCCGATTAATTTCCCACTCGTCAGGTTCAGGACTAAGTGCGAACACTGTAGGCTTGTTATGTTTAGGAGCTGGATACAATAGTTGTGTAATAAGACCATCAGAATGCATTGAATGATGATGAACTAATTCAGCAAGAGTGTTAAAACGACTCTCAGTAGTCACGTACACCTAGATATAATAGAGTATGTAATAAATATTAAATACAATTTTAATTTATTTAAAAGTTGAACAAATTATATACTTTTCCATCAGAAGTATCTTCATTAATGCGATAGTGATAAACACGTCCTTCATATCTTAATGAAATAGATCTTTGACCAGGAGAACTTTCGCTCTCCCGGACCAAAAAACTACCATTTATTCCAGAACTAAGCAAATATTCAGCAGCATTTCTTGATATGGGACCATGATACCAAGAATGTTTCTCCAATGAGTTAACGGGTGTAACATAATTTGATGGTACCCAACCAACTTGTCCTGGTGATGCATGTGCTTCACACCATTCACCGCTTTTGTTGTAAGATAAAATACGAACTTGTTCTCCTATAGACAAAATTAATAATAAGAAACATTATTTATAATATAAAAATCAATAAGTGATTGTTTAACAAAAACCTTTTTTAAGACTAAGTTGGTTATCACCACCCGCTTGAAAATCATATAAAGCAACAAATAACTGTGGATCATCATCTTCTTGGGATTGCAATAAGTTTTCTTTTGATGTCCATCGAATTGATGATTCTAAGTTACTTGAAATTGTTCCACCAATAGAACCACCGGAACTTCCACCACCTGAAGGAATGGTCCCAGGAGGATCGCCATCAGGAAGATCTGGTATGTGAGGTAAAGGTCTACTTTGTAATAATGCTTCTGCAAACATAAATTGTAGTTTTAAATTATTAAATAAACTTGAAATAGGTAAACATTTAGTTACATTTTTTTAATAAATCATAAAAAATTGAATTTTTTTCAATGAAATTTAAAATTATTAAATATTAGTATTTACTACATTTCATAATATGCATTTAATAGTAGGTACCTCATACATTTTATATCAATACAACATCCGGTATAATGTATATTTTCAATGTTGTATCTATAAACTGATCTTATTCAATTATCAATATACATATATTTTCCTTGTGTGTTCTTTTTTTTTTAATAGATCAATCAAAAATTTAACTAGTTGGTTATTCAAATACTCCAATTCTAGTTAAATTATTATATTTATTAAATGATTAAATTTATCGCTAAAAAATTAACATTTAGAATGTGCTCTACCTAGTAAGACATAAACGGACAATTAATTTGTTTATAATAAAAATATGTCAAACAAATAACATACGTTTAACATATTCAATACCTACCTAGTAACAAAAAAAATAAAAATACAGATCAGAGAATTTCAGAAATTAATAGGAATCTTTCTTTGGAGATGGCCTTTACTTTCAAGTAAAATGCAATTATTATCGAGTACAATTACTTAATATTACCATTATACCACCTACATAAAAATATGTACATTTTTAAAACTAAGGTGTTTATAACATTATAAGTCCAAGCTTTTTTCTTAATATATCAAACAAATAAATAACATTAATATAACCAGTATTTATACCACACATTTAAATTAAATATGAATATTACGAATTTTAAGTCTTAGGTACCTATTATAATTATTAATGCAGGGAGTAAATGGGAGTTAAAATTATTTAGTACTTAACATCAATACGAGATATATTCCGATACAATTACAAATACATGGCAACCTATAATTTGATAATATTTATTGTGTGGATTAAACTACAATATTTTTCAGTTAAGTAAATTTAATTCAATGTTTAAGTTATGCTTAGTTATTCTATCATTTGATTTAAATAGTTGATATGTGATTATATAATAGGTAAGTGAGCACTTTTTTGATAATTCAATTATTGTTGTAGGTACAAACTTTATTCCTGTATCACATTATCCCCGTTTACTTACTTACTGCCACATTATCAAAACTAGGTATACAAAAGCTACAAGATATATGAAATTAGTAGATAAATGTTGATTTACAACTAGGTACCTATTAAAAGCTATTAAATAGATTTACGTTTAGTTTGTAATAATACACCATAAACTTAGTTTCCTTTATATAGGTATTTATAATATATTTATGATTTATTCGTATAATCGTATATAATATGTTGTACTTGAATTGTTGAATGTAACATGATCCCCTATAGGTTCTAGATAAATTTATATAAAAATGTACACTAATAATGTTAGGTACCTATTTATATTTTTGCTAAATGATTTTACAAGTGTTAGTTACCATATTAGAAAGTCTGTGTTTTAAACATTTTTCTACACCCATTTATAAACGAACACATATCAAATTGTGTTTAATTGTGTTTCCAATCGAATAGAGAAACAGCCATCTACCTACCTACTTTTTTTTTTTTGGACTTTTAGCCGTTTACCCTACACAACAATACATTTTGTAACCGATTTAAATTGAATAGTAGGTACATAGGTAATGTTAATATTATAATTTTAAAACCATAGATTATGGTAACCGTCCAACACATCAGCTGGTATGACACATATTATAATAACTAATACACAATTAACGTATGCTCACCACTGTGTTCAGTGAATATGTTCAGCCCTTGGTTCTTGCCGTCTTTGACGTTAGAAAACCGAGGCTTGGACCTGATGCTGCGCACGGTCAGCGATCCCGAGGTCAGGGCGCGATCCTTGGTCTGCTGCGCGCCCATGGTTAGAGACCATTACCCGGACAGATGGACGGGGTTCAATCCGAGATGGTGGCGGACACGCATAGGGTAACACGTCTGAGCGAACGTTGACCAAACACCGATTGGCCGGCGAGGCGCATTGCCGTGAACACCGAAACGGGTGCAGATCTCAAGCACGCAACTTCCGTGCCGACCTGACTCGGCAGTCGGCCGAGAAGCCGCAGCAGCGACGAAAACTTGCGCGAGGAGACTCGCCGAACTTTTTATTAGTTACTGTCACTACTACAACTGCTGATGCTCGTACGTGTATTATTGTTGTTGTTGTTGTTATTTGATTGACGTCGGACGTAACTCCTCGTCACTCGACAGTCAACTTCGTCTGCGGCGATATTGTACTGATGTACGGTGTCTGATTTTCTTCTCCAGTTTTCTCGCTTATCACTTATCAGCCGTAACACCCGCGTATGCTCCAAGTTTTCGTCTATACCCTGGTTCGCCATTGATAACCAGTTACACGACCATCATATCATAGAACAATTATATGGAAGCCACGATTAAAGATATACAGGTTGCACATCGCCCTATAGTAAACCGTTTCCAGACTGATTTACAAAGTGACTATAAAAATCAGCTGTTAATAATTAACTAGTGGCGCTTAATGTCAACACTCAACCATATGTGTCGACATTTAGAACTAATTTTACACCTATATATCTATAATTGGTTAATTGTAATACTGCCGCTTGGAGCGCCACTGGTTAATTATTGGTAGTCATTTCGTATTTCACCTTATCAGTAGTCGATGTGCAACCTGTATATCTTTAATCGTGATGGAAGCGAAACTCGATCTGATCATATTATGGTCCTGAATGAAATCAATTTTGTGATACGACTCGGCGCGGCCGATAAGAGTTATCGAATTAGGTATGGCATCCTGCACCGTTTTATCATAGAATTATTCTATGGTTTTATTGACATTGCACAATATTATAGTATATAATTTATACAATTATACTATCATTATTTCATGAATTGACGAGTCCTACATTTATTGTCAAGCCTCAACTTCGAAAGAGGTGAGCCCTAGACGAACTCAGACTGCGTTAGTGCGGTTAGGCTGTCTCCAAGCTACCAAATAAACTATATATTATTACAATACTGTGCGCAACATTCAAAATGTTCAAATAATAGTTAATACTTAAATTATAGGTACAACACTACATCACAAATTAATTACTCGTACGACGTACACTGTCGAGTAAAGTTCTCTCAAATGGTAAGTCTTATATTCACATAGATTATATTGTACCTAATAATATTCAACTTTTGAGCACTCCACCCATCATAATTTATGATGCAAATCGATTTTAAACTTCCTACCTGCCTACTTACTTTGATAAAACGTTTAAATCGTAAGTTATCAAGTTATTCAACTGCAATTTTTGATTTCTATCTATTTGTAAAACAAAAATATGAATTAATGAAAATAATTGATTATCAACGTCACAAATTAAGTATATCTCAGTTCAAAGAAATAGAAAGTATAAATAGTTTTCATATTAATAATTTATTTGATACTTTATAGACTTAACTCTGTCGACATTATTAATTTACATTCATCTTCAAATAATTTCTTCTATTAAACAAAAAAAATTATAAATAATAATATATACTTTCACTTGCCAAAAAAAATTACTTCTTGCTGCAGGTACCTAGACATATTTTTATAAAATAAATGAAAACATTAAACTATGGTACATCTAATGACGATCAAATGATTTTGTTAAGGGGGGAGGGGGATATGGAGGATTTAATAACAGGCACTATTTGATTACTAATTACTAAAACTATGATTTATTGTTATCAGCTCTTAAACATAGAAAAAATGGTTATGGTATGGGTGGCAGGAGAATCCACCCCCTCATTACCACGTTTGATCGTCACTGTGTACAATGTACATCATGTAAACTTATTATTTTCAATATACAAGTTACAATATATTAACTTATAACTAATGACAAGTACCTAAGTAATTAAGTATTATTTTTTCAGTTGTGTGTGCCAGTTAGAAGTATATTGGCTTTCCAGTCTAGAACAGTTTGTTGTGTAGCTATAAAATCTCATGGCTTAATATATCCAAACAATACAAACTTCACAATTACTAAACGTCATGCTGTCACTGACTTCATTGGTATTAATACTAAAAGTAAAATTTCTGAATTTATCAACAGATTTCAAATAATGAATCCATTAAATAAGTCTGTAAGTAAACATATCATGATAGTATACAATCAAAATGTTTCATGTTAGTATGTTAATAATGACTTATAATAATTGTTTTAATATTTGTATTTTAAAGAAATACGAAGCAAATAGTTGGATTTTATATGAAAAATTGGTTGATCAAATTCCTTTTGATCAAATCATAAAAAGTAATAAAATGAGTACTAAAATTAAATATTCTATTTACCTACTTTCTAAAAATTATTATTCATTTTCAGAACTTGACTTACCAGATACATTTAATTCTTGGTTTATTATAACAGAACTACACTTATGGATGATATTTGTTCGTTTTATGAATGAAGGTACCCAAGGCACAATGATTAGAAATTTTATCATGGAAGCATTATGGAATGATGTTGAGTTTCGTTCAAAAAAATTAGCTACTGTAAGTTTTTTAGGAGACAAGTTTCCCTTTTATTGCTAAAAAAATAAACACGTATTTATGAATCGTAATATATTATGCAGTATTATATTACATTTTAAACATACAGATCTATAAATTAACTTATATTATTGTTTGAGAAAAATAAACATTTATCATAATTTTTAAGTAACATTAATACTAGAAAACAGAAAGGAACTTTTAACATGATAAAAAAAATATACTAATAAATTATAATAATTTTAATATTATCAGGTAAGTGCAGATGTTCGGCATCGTCAAATAAAGGAATTAAGTGATCAATTACGAGGAGCATTAGTAGGTTATGATGAAGGATGGCTCAGTAATGATATGGTCTTAGCCAGCATGGTATGGCGTAGAATATTCAATAAAGAATGTAATGACCCAGAAAAAATTGAATTAGTAGTGAAGTATATTAGGAAGCAGGTAAAATAAAAATCTATTAACTCTGGTAACTTTGGATTGGTCAAAATTTTATTTTATATATTATTTTCAACAGATGTCCATTCTTCAATTGCAAACATTTGATAGTTTATTTACAAAAAAAGATGTCAAATGGATAAAATTTGTATAGAAATATTGTAAAAAGAAAAACAGTGTATATTATATATAATACTTTATCTAACAAAATCATAAATTAGATATTTTTAATAAACAACAATTAATTACGTTTTGTGTAAAACTCACAGAATTCATTAAGAGTGTTGTTAGCAATTCTATCAAAACTGTCCGACATATTTATATTGTCTTGGACTACTATTTCTGGATTGGGCTCTCCACAAACACTATTTTCTGTTAAATGTAGACTAGCAGACAAATTGGTTGACAACGCATGTTCACTGTCTCCCAACAACGTTCTTAAGTCACTAGAATCTAAACTTGAGAATGTAGCTTCCATAAGATTAGCCTCAGTATTGTCTTCTGTTGGGCATGGTAAAGGTGTTGTAGTTATGGTAGTTGGTAGAGCATAATTTTTTTGAGATGTTGGATTATGACTATTAACTGTTGGGCACACTTTTGTAATAGTGCACCCACTAGTTTGAATTCCTGCATAATTCCATTTAAGCTATTAAAATGTATTTAAGAACAAATATGAGGTGAGTGATAAGAAGAATGTTTCAACTTTTAATTCTATATCAAAATAATTGTTCAGGGCTCAGTAAACAAACATGAAATTATTTAGGACAAAATTTAAAATATTATATATTGGTGATTTAACCAACATTGATTATATTAATAATGTAAATGTAAATAATATACATTTAACTAATATTCAAATATTTTTTTATAAAACCGTTGGACACAAGCTTTTGTAATGGATAACACTGATTCAACATAAAAAAAAAATAGTATTAGTATTAACTGCTATTATTGATAACTTTAAAAAAATAAATTATCATATTATGTTTTTCAGCTTTTTTTCCATTGTATCCTTTATCATCGTCATATACAGTTTTGTATACTTAGCAGTACTGTATTCACATACAATATTATATATTTTAATGCTAATTTCATATTAGCTAGTATTTTATTGTTTTTTTTTTTTTCATCTCCATAATATTCCTACATCAGATAGAATGAAAATAAAAAAATGAAAAATAATTTACCTGTAGGTAGTCGAATATTGGTATTCAGTAATGTAGTCTGCCCATACAATGAGATAGGATTTACATTTGGGAATTGATAATGTGGTGAAGGTGTTCTAGAGTTATACGAAGGCGAATGTTGACGAACATTCGAATTTGAAAGTGGATATAAACCACTATAAGGATTAGGACTAGTTTCTATACAATAAAAATGAGAGTATTAATTTACGAGTGCAAACATTCTAATATATAATTCGAACCTGGTTCTTCTTTGATTGGTACAGAAATTGACAATTGGTCAACCATTCCATCAATAAAATTAGATGACTGTTGTTCTAATTGATCTATACGTCCTAAAATGATAGAATTGGAAATAAAAACGGTATTTTGTATTTAAAAATGAAAAAGCAATAGCATGCAAATGTTACTGTTAGAAACACTTAACAAAAAAAGCAATTACTATTGGTAAGTTAGAAACAGAAATAACATTCTATACATGAAAAATCTTACAATTTTAAGAAAATAAAATTGTGGATAAAGATGATAATGATCTAAAATTACTTAAGAAATTCTATTTAGAAAAACCAATGTTAAACTAATGCAGGATGGTATACCAGGTGTATCCAATTATCTAATTAAAAAAAAATTATATCAAGATATAAATTAGTCTTATATTTACATTCAAAATATTAAAGAGCTTAGATAATATATAATCCTAATTTATTCATACTTGTATGATGACATTTTTATCAGAACTACATACAAAGGTTAATAAATTGTGAATAGGTATCCGCAAACATTTTTTTTAGAACATGACTATTTTTTCATATGTATTATATGAAGAATAATATTTAATTTTAAGGAGAGGAAAGGCGCCTATAATATTATAAAATATTATTTATTTTAACATTTATCTTGTTTCAATTAAATTTGGAAAAAGAAACATTTTTGAAAATAAAATAGGATTTAAGCATTGGTTGAGCCGCATAAAGATATATTATATAGCAATAGTTGTGTTTTTTTTTTTTTTTTTAAATGAAATAAGAAACATAATCAAATACACATTATATCCCATCCAGTTTTTGAACTCTACTTTAGAAAACCACATATAACCAAAAAATACTCTACCCTACTTTTTACTTACTTATTATTTTCTCAATTTTATTTGTTTGTTTCTTCTCCTTGTATTTTCACATACTAAATATCAAATAAACTACAAATTTATACATATATATAATATGTATATATACTTGAACATGTAAAGAAAATGAAAGAAACACAATATTAGGCTTGTACAGAGATATACACATTGTCACGTGTTCGTTAAATTTATAAATACTAATATCATGCTAATTAAATTAAACTGACATAAACTCATTGACACCGGCACCGAATAGTAACATATTTTTAAAAAATCACCTTACATCGCCCAGGGTTGTTTATAAAAGCTTATATGACATTTATATTATTTTTACTCACTAATAGGGTTACTCGGTAATTGAATCAAAAGTTCACTTTCGCAAGATAATTTCTGTCTTTTCCTTTTCAACATGACCGGATCTATAACGCGCAATAAACAAATCAATAAACATTGCATAAACTTATAATAATAAAATATATTTTTGAACATTAACTTGGCTCACAATATTTAACTGCAATATAAAAATGTATACCCATAAACAATATTAGAAAAAGAACATGAAAACTATGATCAAAAACAAATTACACAATTATTTATATAATGAAAAAAAGAAAAATAAGTTGTTAATATGTTAATTTATTAACTATGGACTAGACCTTAATTTACTCAACTCCTATAATTAAATTATACTCAATAATCTAAGTAACATTGAATTGTTAGTACAAGCAAAATATTTCAATATTCACTGCCAGTCAATAATTAAATTAAATTATCTTAGAACCCTGATACGTTTAGTATTTTTAATTTCAACAATTTGTTTAATAAATGTTGAGCAAAATTATGATAATTAACTTTTTCTTTCGATTACATTATTTCACAGTTGTAACTGTGCCCCCCTCCACAGTGCTATAATACATAGATGAATCGTCAAACTCCGACATGGCTGCATGAGGTGCTACGGAAGTATATAAGGCATAGTTTTCTGCTTCTGTCAAAGGAGTGTCATTAATAGGTTCATTGATACTACTATTAGATGAACACATTGATTTACTTCTTTTTCGCATGTTTAATAACTTATGCAGCAGTTTGATTTTTGATGGTTTTTCTTGTACTGTAGGAAGATATTTTGTTGGTCTAGGATTTTTTTTAACTCTTTTTGGAGGCAACGGTGGCGCAGTATTATTGTCAAACTTTGGTTTAGAACTGCTAGGAGGTCTAGGTGGTAAAATTGACACATCCTCGTAACTCTGACATCTTTCAGGTATTGAACATGGATTTTTAAATGCCATTTGAAGACTAGAGTAAGTTCCACGCAAATCTTCACCTATAATCTCAGAAGACGAGCTAACTGTATCTTCTTTATTCTCTTTATTAATGTCATAACATGTTTCCTCGTTGACCTCCATAGGTTCATCTTTTATTTTTACCTCAATATCTTCATTCTCTTTATTTTTATCAAAAACGCTAAGTGGTACTTTCTCTTCTGGTTGACCATCTGCCCAGTAGTCATTCAGACTTTTTTCCGGTAGCCTATCATATTTCTGAGGGGACATACCTGAATAATCCGGAGTGAACGTAAATGGAAGAGCGTCACTACACATGCCATCCGAAGGTCTTTTTAACTGAATCCATACAGTTACTGGACTGTCAATCTAAATTAAAAATTAAAAGGAATAATTATTTATTCGGTGTCAAAATTATTAAACCACAAATGTGTAAATACAATCAAAATTACAAAAAATAAATAATTTAAATTTACCTCTGTTGTTTTATATTTTGGAGTCTTAAACCAAATAGCCACTTGTTTATGTACATCTGAAGCTTTAAAAACACCATAGTCTTCCCAAATGCACTTACCATCTTTTTCCTCAAAAAATCTTACTTGGATATCATCTAAATAATTAACACGCACTTCAGTACACATTAAAATATTATAAAATGCATTTTTATTTTACCTTTTGTTACTTTTTCACATAATAATATGATTTCTTTATCACCTACAACTGAAGCTGCCGCATCACTTAATCTACATATTGATAAATCTGACATCGCTTCTAAAAATAATAAATTCAAGAATATATAAGTTACTTAAAATAATCACTATTGGATGCTAATAACTTTATTAAGTTTAAACAGACTAACTTTTATCATAAATTGGATCTGACACAATTGGTTCTAGAATACTATATTTTCCTTTTTGTGAACCGCCAAGAAAAGCTTGAAAACACAACCTTACTGCATTTAAGTCTATTGAAGTTGGGTTCTCTTTATGTGAAAATCCAGCTGTGAAACATTTAAAAATACATGTACATAATATACTATTATAATGTTGTTAACACATTAGAGTAATAGCTAAATAGTATTCGGATATATTTAATAATTTACTTACTTCTAAATGGATCTACTCTTATATCTTCTCGTACTTTGAGTGCCTCATCAATATCTTTTCTTTTTACACATTGTATTCCCAAATTCTGAAAACTTGCCGCCATTGATTCATTATTAATTTCTATAGTACAAATTCCTTTTTTGCAGTTATCACGTCCCACAAGGTTATGAGGGTGAGGTCTATATGGTTTATCTTTTGTAACACATGATACTACAACAACAGCTCTGCCTTTATAACCTACTATCTGAAAACAAAATCACAAAAAATTATTGAAATGAAAAAAAATAATTTATTAGAAACGTTACTTGAATTGTAGGGTAGGTTTTATTGTCAGTGGTACTATTAACTCCAGGTATACTCCCGGCTGATCTACCTTCACACTCATATCTAAACCTCAACGCTTTTGAAGCAGGCTGTTCGACGATTTTGATATATGGTGAAGTTGTAGGTCTTCGCCC